ATCTGCCAAAATACCGAAAAACGGCCGAACAAATAGCCCACTAACGATCCGAAAATCGGCCGATTTTATTTTTGCCAAAAAAATCGGCCGATTTTCGACCCATCTATGGCCTGCATTAGTTTATCACACACTGGGGTTGATTTACTAAAACCAGAAAGTGCAAAATCTGGTGCAGCTGTGCATGGTAGCCAATCAGCTTCCACTTAATTTTGTTTAATTAAACTTTGAAAAAAATGGAATTGGCTACCATGCACAGCTGCACCAGATTTTGCACTTTCTGGTTTTAGTAAATCAACCCTATTGATTTTTAGTTTTTGACCTTAGTTCTACTTTAAATTTTCTAAATATATATTCAATTGACATATCATAGATTTCTTTCTAAGAACATATTGAAACAATGACAGAATATGTTGTGTAGAAATGCCATCATATAGTAATGTTTAGTGGTTTTTTTTCATAATACTTTTGTATTTTTAGCCAATCCATGCTAATAATTCTCCACACAAATGTATAAAACAGCAGAACAAATTTCCACTGCTTCTTACAAAAAAGAACATATGTGGGAAAGCAACCATGAGGTCAGAGTTTTTCTAAAAACTGGAAACCCCCTCTACATTAACATCACAAGTCAAAACATGTGGTAAGCATGATCATTTACAGAGCTGCAAATAGAACTCATTTTGTTTATATAAAACACAATTACATTTTTTGGGAATTTTTTTATGGTAGAGCTGGTGGCTTATTGTTTTTAAGTCCCCATTTATAAATAAGACACTATAATAAAATTCTTCTATTTTTTTCAATATACCTGGAAGAATAGCTTTACCTTAACATGATGAAAATTGATCCAATATAAAACTCAGGAATGTGCCAAGGTGTGTAATGTCCTCAGAAAACACATCTTCTAACAGTCCACAACATGTTATTTCTGCCACTGAACTTGGTCATATGGGTGTTATCTTCATACTCCTAATCATTATGCTCACCTTAGACTTAGTGACTAATCTTTATGCACAGGTTCTCATAGAACATATCACCTGGTCATTCTGAAGAAAAGGAGTTGAAAACAATTCTCCTTCTGGTAAAAAAAAAACAGTAATGGTTTTAGGCAGGGCTTTTTTTTTTCAGCAGGAATGCTCCAGCATTGAATGTACAGGTGAAACTCAAAAAATTAGAATATCATGCAAAAGTTCATTTATTTCAGTAATGCAACTTAAAAGGTGAAACTAATATATGAGATAGACTCATTACATGCAAAGCAAGATAGTTCAAGCCGGGATTTGTCATAATTGTGATGATTATGGCTTACAGCTCATGAAAACCCCAAATCCACAATCTCAGAAAATTAGAATATTGTGAAAAGGTGCAATATTCTAGGCTCAAAGTGTCCCACTCTAATCAGCTAATTAAGCCATAACACCTGCAAAGGGTTCCTGAGCCTTTAAATTGGTCTCTCAGTCTGGTTCAGTAGGAATCACAATCATGGGAAAGACTGCTGACCTGACAGTTGTGCAGAAAACCATCATTGACACCCTCCATAAGGAGCGAAAGCCTCAAAAGGTAATTGCAAAAGAAGTTGGATGTTCCCAAAGTGCTGTATCAAAGCACATTAATAGAAAGTTATGTGGAATGGAAAAGTGTGGAAGAAAAAGGTGCGCAAGCAGCAGGGATGACCGCAGCCTGGAGAGGGATTGTCAGGAAAAGGTCATTCAAAAGTGTTGGGGACTTTCACAAGGAGTGGACTGAGGCTGGAGTCAGTGCATCAAGAGCCACCACGCTAGACGGATCCTGGACATGGACTTCAAATGTCGCATTCCTCTTGTCAAGCCGCTCCTGAACAACAAACAACGTCAGAAGCGTCTTACCTGGGCTAAAGAAAAACAGACGTGGTCTGTTGCTCAGTGGTCCAAAGTCCTCTTTTCTGATGAGAGCAACTTTTGCATCTCATTTGGAAACCAAGGACCCAGAGTATGGAGGAAGAATGGAGAGGCACACACTGCAAGATGCTTGAAGTCCACTGTGAAGTTTCCACAGTCTGTGTTGATTTGGGGAGCCATGTCATCTGCTGGTGTTGGTCCACTGTGCTTCATTAAGTCCAGGGTCAACGCAGCCGTCTACCAGGAGATTTTGGAGCACTTCATGCTTCCTTCCGCAGACGAGCTTTATGGGGATGCTGACTTCATTTTCCAGCAGGACATGGCACCTGCCCACACAAAACCTGGTTCAATGATCTTGGGATTACTGTGCTTGATTGGCCAGCAAACTCGCCTGACCTGAACCCTATAGAGAATCTATGGGGCATTGCCAAGAGAAAGATGAGAGACATGAGACCGAACAATTGACTATGAAGCATCCTGGTCTTCCATAACACCTCAGCAGTGCCACAGGCTGATAGCTTTCATGCCACGCCGCATTGGGGCAGTAATAGCTGCAAAAGGGGCCCAAACCAAGTACTGAGTACATATGCATGCTTATACTTTTCAGAGGTCCGGTATTGTTCTATTTACAATCCTTATTTTATTGATTGCATGTAATATTCTAATTTTCTGAGATTGTGGATTTGGGGTTTTCATGAGCTGTAAGCCATAATCATCACAATTATGACAAATCACAGCTTGAACTATCTTGCTTTGCATGTAATGAGTCTATCTCATATATTAGTTTCACCTTTTAAGTTGCATTACTGAAATAAATGAACTTTTGCACGATATTCTAATTTTCGAGTTTCACCTGTATGTAATGTTAGGGGTTGCTGCGATGTGCTGGAGGGATCTATTTTCACTGGAGGGGATCTATTTTTATGCAGGGGTGTGTTGTTGCTGGGGAGGTCTATTGTTGCTGGTAGGGGATATATTGTTGCTGGGGGTAGGTCTTATATTTCTGGGGCTCAGTTGCTGTTGGGAGGGATCTACTGTTAAGAGAGGGGTCTATTGTTGCTGGCTGCTGTAGGGTCTATTGGTGCTGGCTGCAGGGAGATCTGCTGTTGCTGCAGGGGTTCTATTGTTGCTGTGGGTATTTTGTTGTGGTTGGTCCATTGTTGTTGGAGGGGATCTATTGTTGCTGCATGGATCTATTGTTGCTGTGGGGTGTTTCTGGCTACAGGGATCTATTTTACTGCTTTTCTTGTTATCAAAACTCCATACAAATTACTTAGCACCACAAAATAATCCTTGGTTTTGTATTCTCCTAAAGGGTGGAACTGGGAGGTGTTTAGGGGCAAGGAACGATGCTCAGAGATGGCTGGGTAGGGGGCGGAGACAAGGGGTGACTCAGAAAGGGGGCGTTCCTGCACCTAATTTATGAGAAATAAAGCCATGGTTTTAGGTATTGTTTGTGTATAGGATTTTTGCTAGATTTTTGCTGTCTATATACAATCTTTGTTTTACAAATAAGCAATTAATATAAGGTGCACTCTTTACACTGGAATAATATAGTATTACTTTTTTTTGTGAGAACACAACAGAGGCTGTTTCATGTTCTCTCACTCTGAATGATATGTGGTAAGACAACCTCTAAATAGTATGGCAGAGAGAGTTCCTATTCATTTAGTTCTGTATTGAAATTTAAGCTGGAGCTATTGACTGCTGTAAACAATGTATCTTTTTTTCAGCAAAACAGATGCAACAGATGGAAACAGGAAATACTGATATGCAAAATATTTATTTTACTTGACATGAAAGAAAAAAAATAGCTTAACATTTGTTTTTTAAGCCCTTACCATAAAAAATAAAGTTAAACGATAAGCAATATTTCAGGTAGTATTAAGGGAATCATATGAATGACAAAGCAGAAACACAAACAGAAGGAGCACTGGTGTAGCTAGCTCTTTTCTGTAAGTATGTAAAACTGCTTTCCACACAGACACCCACGAAGAATAAATAATAGTCACCTTCACTGGTTGTTTTTTGGCACATAACCTCTCCTATCCAGGGGCGGACTGACCATTTGGAAACTCGGGCATTACCCGAGGGCCCGGGGTCAGTAGGGGGCCCCATGAGATGCCCCTGGTACCTCTTTCATAGGCTTTTTTGAGTTTGGGCAAGGACACAGGGGCCCCATGATCCACTATTGCCCGGGGGCCCCATTAGTTGTCAGTCTGCCCCTGCTCCTACCAGAAAGTTAACAACATAACATCTCTCTACCCAAACCTTTAACAATAACCTTCAACCTTAACATAACCAATATAAAAACATAACTTTTGGACCTCAGGTCCTCTGGTTCAGCTGCTAAAAGCAATTGCCCCGTCCCAACCCTTTTCCTTAACCACTTGACAACCAGGCTATAGCTGAATGATGGGTACAGCTTAGTTGTCCAGTTCAGGGAGGGCGTCATATGATTTCCTTCCAGAATGCACCCCCCACACACACACCCACCCACAGCGGTGTGCACCAGTGCTGTCTATGATCGTTATGTCCTCTGGACACAGTTGATCACAAGTCAAGGTAAAAGGCCAATCACAGCGCTCTTTTACCACGTGATCAGCGGTGTCCAATGACACAGCTGATCACAAAAGTAAATACAGTTGCCGGTTATCAGCAGCACTTTCCTCACGCTGTCACAGCGTGAGGGAAATACTGCCAATAACCAGCAAGTGCCACAGAGGACATCTGCATTGATAATCAGGGCAGCCACAAAAGTGCCCAGCAGTGCCACCTTTCAGTGTCCAGCAGGGCCACCCATCAGTGCCTATCAGTGCCCATCAGTGCTGCATATCAGTGCAGCAGCATGAGTGCCTCCTCATCAATACCCACCAGTGCCGCCTCATCAGTGCAGCCTATCAGTGCCCATCAGTGCTGCCTATCAGTGCCTATTTGGCCTTTTTTCAATTATTTCTCATCAATACCCACCAGTGCCGCCTCATCAGTGCAGCCTATCAGTGCCCATCAGTGCTGCCTATCAGTGCCTATTTGGCCTTTTTTCAATTATTTGATGGTTTGTGTGACATCCCTGGTGTTCCGATTACCGAGCATCTCCAACGGGAGGAAGATTGTTTTGTTTACTTTGTCAGCTCAAGCACACTGCTCGGGATGGCTGTCCACAGTACAGCCATCCCGATCAAGGTGCTTACAGTGAAGAACACCCCCCCACCCCCCAGTAGAACACTCCCAGCACACAGTTAACCCTTTGATTGCCCCTCACATTAACCCCTTCCTGCCCATTGCCATTAGTACAGTGTCAGTGTTTTTTTTTCAGCACTGATCACTGTATTGGTGTCACTGGGGTCTCAGTGACACCAAGTTAGTTCCCCCCCCCGTGTCAGAATGTCTGCCATAGTCCCACTATTTACTAGTAGAAAAAAAAATTTATCTACCGCCATTTGTAAACGCTATAACTTTCACGTAAACCAATTAATTTACACGTATTGGGATTTTTTTTTTTACAAAGACATGTAGCAGAATACATTTTGGCTTACATTTATGACAAAATTTGATTTTTAAAATTTTTTTTAATGGACATGTTTAATTGCAAAAAGTCCAAAATATTGTTTTTTTTCTCAAAATTGTCGGACTTTTTTGCTTATAGTGCAAAAAAGAAAAAACGTACAGGCAATCAAATACCAACAAAAGAAAGCTCAAGTCGTGGAAAAAAAGGACATACATTTCATTTGGGTGCAGCGTTGCACGGCCGCGCAATTGTCAGTTAAAGTAACACAGCGCCATAACACAAAAAATGGCCTGGTCATGAAGGGGGGGGGGGGGGGGTAAATCCTCAGGAGGGAAAGTGGTTAAACTGAATGTGTTGTTTTTCAAGGTGAGAAATTACAATCACTTTAACATGGTACTGACATTTAACCTTTACCTTAGCTATTCAACAGAAATCTAAATTTAAGTTTTAAAATGTAATTTTCACCAAACGTAAAGTGTTACTAAACCCAGGACCATTCATTCACTGTATCTGGTCTCCCACAGTACACGGAACATGGAAATGCAATTATTGTAGTAAATATAAACTGCTAAATATCTTTTCTCATCAGCAGTTAGAGCTTGTGTCTTCTGTTAGTGTTCTGCACAGCACTGGTTAAAGCTTGTAGGAGGAGTTTTCTTTCTGCTCTAGCAGGATGCAAAACATCTGACCTCTGTCTGAAAAGTGCTGATTGGCCCTGTGCTGATCATGTGCAAAGAAAAAAAAAACAACGTCTCTAGCAATACACACTAAACTGAGCATGTGCATGTTGGTTACGGGTACAGTCTGTCCTATCAGGAGATAAGATGTGGACATTTGAACAAGAAGAGGGGCAGAGAAAACAAAATCAAATGGCATTTTTACACAATGTAGATGTTTAACCCCTTAGGTTCCACAATGAGTATAACAAGCATGCTTTACTGCATATACAGACTGACTGTTGTGGGTTTAGTAACACTTTAAATTATCCCCCCTGGATTCCTCATCTTACGTGAACTTATCCCTTGCCTAATTCCTAATGCTGAAGTTAACTCTACAACAACAGACTTATCCTCTGCCTGAAGCAGAGAAGCCAAACTTTAACAGTTTCATGGCAAAAACTGACAGCTCCCATATGCAAGCACTAAAAATAAATAATCATTTCATCCATTACCAACAGATCAGGAAACATCTACATGTCTGTGGACAAATGCTGAATGATCTCAGAAAGAAAATTGATCATCCAAAATGGGTTTTCCTAATAATTGTTTTTTTTCCCAATAATTGTTTTTTTTTCCCAAATGTTAGAAAAGGTGTTTACTGTGTAATACCTAAAATGCAGGCCTTTAATATATGAGATACTTAAAATATAGGTCTTTAAAAGGTAGTATAGGTTTAAAGATAATCTGTGAGGAACATAACTATTCCAACAAACACAATTTGACACATGCATAGTAAGTAATTTACCTTATTTCAGAATTTTCTGTCTTCTGCATGCCTGGACTGGTCTTTCTGAGTTCATCTTCCTACATCTATATATAGTGGAACTATGCAAACATTATGCAACAAAAACACCCTAAGAACTGCCAGCTGCAGGGTGACTCGAAATCACCTTGAGAAGGTTATAAAAGTATGTCCTCTGAAGCTGTGTTAGAAATTATTTTATTATGGGTAAATGGTGTACTTTTTATTGCTCCGAGGAAATTATTATTTTCTAATTTCTTTTGTTTTTCTCTTTCTAAAGGTATCCTGCCAAGATATTTCTATATTCTACATCCATCCTACATCCAACAATTGCCAGCTGGGATAAGAAACTTTTTAATCTCAAACTAAGGTACAGTTGTATGTATAACCTTAGCAGGGATAAATTGAATTGAAAAATATCTAAATGTAATCTTATAATTAGAAGTTCTATTCACCTGTTACATCACTAAAATATTTCACAAGGAATAGGTTACCATAAACTGACAATATATACATAACTGAACGTCTGATTTTTTTTTTTTATAATACTATCTAAGGGGCAGGGGACACTTGGAGGGATGTTCATATAAAGGTGCAGCATGGACATCACTAGTGCCAGGCAACCAGGTATGTGTCCTGCACCTGCTGGGGGCCCTTGTTGCTGAAACTAACTGCCTGTCACTGCAGCAGAGCAACTGTCTATGCCCCACTACCTGTCAGGGTGATGTATGGCCAACAGAAACTTCCTCGGACTCTTTCTGAGAAGAATCCCTTCACTCACACCACTGAATTTAAGGCCTGGAGAGTTCTGGGCAATAAGTATTAAGCTGATTAGTCTTAAGAGGAGATGCTATCTGGGTGGGGGAATTTGGGCTGGGGGGGGTGAATATTTTTGCTGGGAGGGAGGATTTGAGCAGAAAGGCAAAGTGTACTGGGAGGAAATTGAAATTTTTTTCTTGGGGAGAACTTTGGCTTGGAGAGGGGAATTTGTGCTGATGGGGATGATTTTTTATTGGGTGGGAGTTTGTGCTGGTCATGAATTTTCTGTGGAAAAGGGGGGGTTGAGGGAGAGGGCTTTTTGCTGAGGGGGAAGGGGGAGAGTTTTGCCTGGGTGATTTTTGCACTCCCCTGGTCCCTGTATTATGTGCATTACACATTCCTGACCCATGTGCTCTGTGCGTTCATACTCCTGACCCCTGCTTTCTGTGCATTACATAGTTCTGATCTCTGCACTCTGTGCACTAGGAACCCCTTACACCATGTGTGTTATATACATTGTTCTTCTGACTCTGCACTCTGTTACACATTCCTAACTTCCAAGATCTGTGTGTTAGGCAGTGCACTACTGACCCTTGCAGTCTGCACTATATACATCCAATATCCGAATATCCGATTGCTTCTTGGGGGATCAGGAAGGAATTTTTTTTCCCCCTCTGAAGCATATTGGATCATGCTTTACTGGGGTTTTTTTGCCTTCCTCTGGATCAACTGTATATAGGATAGTGTATATGGAAGGTTTCTCTTTGTGTGTGGTGTGCTTTTTTTTTTTTTCTGTAGTTGCACTAGATGGATGATGTACTAGTGTTTTTTTTTTCAACCAGATTAACTATGTAACATCATGTTGTACAGTACAAACTTGTAATTCACAGTTGCTGATTAGTAAGCAATTTGTGGCCATTTACATAAAGTTCTTCTTTAAGGTAGGTTAAGACAAAGTATTAGCTCTCTGTGTAATTTCAGTGTGCAGAAAAGCATTGCCATGGAAGAACTTCCTTTGTTAAAAATAATTGTGCTAAGGTTTGTATGTGTCTCTGAGACTTTTGCTTATTTTATGGGTCAAATGTCTATACTTAGGTTTTATTTATTCATGCCTGTTTAAACCAATCCTACTGTTAGCACAATTTGTCCACACCCACCATTTGCAACGGTTCACTACATACGCTGTTTCATTACTTTCCTTATTTGCCCAAAGGTGCCCCAGGTCTTTTAACCACTTTACAACCATACTATAGCCGAATGACAGCTACAGCATGGTTGTCCAGAACTGGGAGGGCGTCATAAGACATCTTCCCAGAACACACCCCCAGTGGCACGCACCTCGCACTGTCAGTGATCGCTGTGTCCTACAGACATAGCTGATGATGTGACTAGGTAAAAGGCCAACCACAGTTACCTTTTACCACATGATCAGCTGTGTCCAATGACACAGCAGATCACAGAGTAAATACAGTTGCCAGTTATCGCAGCACTTTCAGCGTAAGTATTTCCGATAACCAGCAAATGTCAGACGACACCCGCACTGATCCATCAGGGCACTGATGATCAGTGCCCTGATCCTCAGTACCGCCCATCAGTGACCAGCAGTGCACCCATCAGTGCTGTCCAGCAGTTGCGCCTATCAGTGCCCAGCAGTGCCACCCAGCAGTGCCACTGGTCAGTGCCACCCATCAGTGCCCATCAATGCCGCCTGTCAGTGCCCATCAGTGCTCCCTATCAGTGCAGCATCATCAGTGCCTCCTCATCAATGCCCACCAGTGCTGCTAAATCAGTGCCACCTCATCAGTGCAGCCTATCAGTGCCCATGAGTGCTGCCTATCAGGGCAGCCTCATCAATACACATCAGTGAAGGAGAAAAAGTAACTGTTTGCAAAATTTTATAATATAAACAAAGAGAATTTGTTTTCACATTTTTTGCTCTTTTCTTGTTTATAATTAAATACCACCAAAAGAAAGCTCTATTTGTGTGAGAAAATGATAGCAATCTTATGGGTACAGAGCTGCATGACTGCGCAATTGTTATTCAAAGTGCAATAGCACTGAAAGCTGAAAATTGGCCTGGGCACAAAGGGGGTAAAAGTGTCTGGTAGGCAAGTAATGAAAATTCTATCAATGCCCCTGCATTATAAAGTTGAATATATAGCCAATCTCATGAACTTTACATTAAAGTGGAACTAAACGCTCTCAGTCAACATAAACTATTTTTATTCCTTATGCTTAGTAAATAGATAGGTATAGTATCTCACAGAAGTGAGTAAACCCCTCACATTTTTTGTAAATATTTTATTATTATATCTTTTCATGTGACAACACTGAAGAAATGACACTTTGCTACAATGTAAAGCAGTGAGTGTACAGCTTGTATAACAGTGTAAATTTGCTGTTCCCTCAAAATAACTCAACACACAGCCATTAGTGACTAAACCGCTGGCAACAAAAGTGAGTACACCCTAAGTGAAAATGTCCAAATTGGGCCCAAAGTGTCAATATTTTGTGTGGCCACCATTATTTTCCAGCACTGCCTTAACCTTCTTGGGCATGGAGCCCACCAGAGCTTCACAGGTTGCCACTGGAGTTCTCTTCCACTCCTCCATGACGACATCACAGAGCTGGTGGATGTTAAAAACCTTGCACTCCTCCACCTTCCGTTTGAGTATGC